CTTCTAATTTTAAATCCAAAGCATGCTTTTGCCCTATTATGTCTAACATTTTGAGTCACTGCTTCACTTCCATTTCAAGAGACATATGACCCTCTTACATACAAATGGGGGAGAGATACTATACCAAAAATAAATGTAAATGACGTAAGGATATTTCCCACATCCTTTCAAATTATTAATCACATGTAAATAGGACACATAAATGTCTTTGCAATAAAACCTTAAGTTTAATTTTTAAAATTTCCTCAATGACTAAAGAAAGTTCACATTAATGTTTTCTTTACTTATTCAGAAAAAGACAACTTCTAAATTCAAAATGTTGAATCAACTATATTTTTTAAAAAAACTTTTAACCAACTTATACCAATTAAAAAAAATATATTAACCCACTTAAACTTTTAACTTTGACTCTAGGAGCTACAGAAAATGCCATATGGAGAAAAGGAGGCAACTCTGAAGCTCTAGTCAATATCAAGAAATGATGCGCCAGTACTTCAGCCCCAAGTGGCTTTTCATTTTCCTTCTTTAAAAAGAAAATAAAATATATAAACAGGAAAAATTTCCCTTATTTACCAAAAGTCCTTTTGAAATATGAAACTTGATCTTTCTTTAGAGGGAAAAAACTACGGAAGCCAAAAAGTCTGAATATTTCTTAATTAAGAAAACAATGTGTAGTCTGTAAGTATTCAAAGACTATAAATTTTTCAAGGCTCAAGTCACTGCATCATGCCAGCTGTAGGATCTGCTAGTTCAGATGACACACGTTAAGTATTTTGCAGTCCCTTTTTGCATCCAACTACCTGCTTTTTAATTAAACATCAGAGCTTCTGACTAAGTTATTATAATTTTTATTGATTGCCTATAACTGAATAATCACTGGTCATTATTATTTTGAACTGCGTCTTTTGGAGTCAACATTCTATTTAAGTATTATTTGAAAAATATCCATTTGTCAAAATCCAGAAGATGATACATTTTTTCTAACGGTGCAGCTTGGGAAAATACACTCAGAAATAGTACCATGTGAAATCAAATTGTAAAAATAATTAGGGTCAGCTAGATGATCTACCACTGACTACAAAGAATTAAAAAAATCAGAGTTAAATAGACAAATTTATTTTAAAATGATCTATATTTATATTCCATCTTATGCCATTTATACAATGCCAAGATGTTATCTGAATCTAAGCAATATTTTGAGTTTCCCAGAGAAACTCACATGAATTTTCACATGAATTTGTGGCCACATAAACACAACCTAAATCTTATAAAAAATGAGGCAAAAATGAAGTTACTTTTATACTGGTAATTATAACACTATACTTTAAAGAGCATTACATTGATTCAAAAACCATATACACTTTCAATGTACTTTTACAGAATACCATAATTCGATCAACAAAGATATTTAGAAACATAGAGTAAAAAAGGGAAAACCTAAAAATGTTCACCTTCAATTTATTCCATAGGTCACTGTTATACCATCTCATAAGATAATTAAACACGCAATCAGCTGGCACTACAGCTAAACAGATTAATGTAATAGACTGTAGTCATATGCGCTGGCAAGGGGCTCGCCTCTTTGGAGAGGAGAAGGTCAGCTGCCCTTGGGAAGGGGAAGGGGGTGCGGGAGGATGCCCCCGCCATGTGGCCCCGGGCCGCAGCCACTGAGTCGAATGCAAACCACTTCTCTGCTTTCACACCGAGCAAGGGTCCCTCAGTTTTAACGATGAAATAAGAAACAGAGAAAGCTTATTTAATCTAACAGAAGATGTTAACAGTGGTCTTTAAAAAGCACAGGATACACTGCATAAAGCAGTAATATCTTCTCACTTCTTCTTTCCATTTTACCACATCATCTACAGACTATTTGGGATATAAACAAATGTTAACAGAAACTTCCAAAATGAAGATTTAGTCTATTACCAGGCATCATAAAATCACCCTACTGGCGCCTTAGGAGTTAAACGCAGCCGATGCTATTTGAATCAATGAGGCAAAACCACTAGAGACACAAATCCAAAGTGAAATCTCACCTCTGAAAACAAACCTGTGCGCATGAGGCGCATAGGGCTGTAGTTAGGGCCCACTGATTGCAAATTTCACATCTGTCAAAATTTCAAAAACCTAACCCTGAACTTAAATATTCATAATAAAACAGCTTCCTTTTATCTCCACCATGTGTACAAGCTTGTTACACAACGCCAGCCTGGACTATGCATCCGAGACAGACTACTGAGCCTCGGGTTTAGCTTGCTCGCAGCCCCTTTCTGGGCTTCCCAGGTGGCACTAGTGGTAAAGAGCCCGCCTCCCAATACTGGGCAGGAAAGAGGCACGGTTCGATCCCTGGGTTGTGAAGGTCCCCTGTAGGAGAGCGTGGCAACCCACTCCAGTACTCTTGCCTGAGAAATCCCATGGACAGAGGAGCCTGGCAGGCTGCAGTCCATGGGGTTGCAAAGAGTCAGACACGACTAAAGCAACTTAGCATGCAGCACACAGTTACTTTCCTGTAGGACATACTGTTTTTAAATCTTCCTTGTGGTGTCTCTACATATATATTAGCACACTGTAAAAATCTTCTACAATTCCATAGGATTAATAATGATGACAATGATGAGGATGACGTGGACTGGAAGACAGAAGCAGTTAATACTGATTCAGCTGTCGGCACATAAGAATAACCCATTAACTCCTTGTAACAAATGCATTTTATTATTCCCTCATTCAAGGTGAGGAAACTGAGACTAAGGCTTGTCCAAAGTTTCCATGTGGAGTCAGGATATGAACCAACACACTATGTTGCCATAATATTAACAAACAGAAAACAAAACCAGCACAACACAAAGAGGCTGTGCCCTCTCACAACTGTCAATCTAAGACCACAATGATGTAAACAGATAACAGAGAGAATACAGACCCAGGTGACCAAGACTGAATTCAAAAGCTGGTACAGCCTCATCACACGCCATAAAGGGGTACACACGTGGAGGCTTAAGTGAAGACTAGGGCGCAGAGTTGCCAATTCACCTGAGGTAAGCAGAATAAATGGATAACAGTAATCCACAGCTGTGCATTCAGATTTTCCAAAGGCTTTATCTTATGTAATTCCATCTCAACCTTTAAAACAGTTGTGAGAAAGAATCGGATCAGACATTATAACGTCCATTCTACAGATAACAAATTAACGCCAACTGTTATCCCAGACACAAGCACATATAGCTTGAGTATCCTGGTACTAGGTTGACAGTCAGAATTATATTTGAAGAAAGGTCAGGATTTCTGAGATGGTCTAAATACAAAGGTAGATGTGTAGGGCTAAAGGATATTTGAGGGTTGAAATATTCACATTTTTCTAATAACCTATTTCTACTTGCTTCAAAGAGCTCTGATAGTAACGGAAAAATTATTTTCATTTTTGAACTTTACAGACAATTCTGTTGCCACCGAAGTGTGATTCTGCAACAATTTCAAGGTTTTATCAGTTAACCTGGTATGAAAATAGACCCTAGAGCTGTGCTTCTATGAATTCTGCCATTTAACCCAAGTGTCAGATTCACAAGTAAGCTCATTATGTTGTAAGAGCTATTGCCTACTCAGTAGAAAAATATTCATTTCACAACTTAAATACTATAATACTATTTAATAACAGCACTGACCTGCCAACTATTAAAAGCTCATTTTATATACTGTACTACCTGAGCTTTTTATCTTGCCTTTTTAATTACAACAATAAATTAATATCCTAACATTACAACACTGACAGGCATTGATTAAAACTATATTAGTTAACAACATTAGTATTTATTGTGCAAAGTTGCATTAGGAGTTCATTTTCAAAGTACAATTATCATGCAATAATACTAAGATACTTTAATCTTCAAACTACTCAAGAACAAAATAAACTACAAGATAACACTGTGCCTTCATATTAATACATTTCTCTTGACTTTATGTCCATCATTTACTATAATTAGCTGAACTACAAAAGTAGCTGTGAAATTCAACAATAAAATCGATACATACATATAGATTTTCCATCCTTTGAAATATATCTTTATTTTCCTTTTGTCTTGGGTTTTTTTAAACAGTATTTATATCTAAAATGATACTCCCACCATAGATTTCACATGTATTATCATCTTAGCATTCCTCAGTTACATTCCAAATGAGCATTTATTTAAATATCTTTTATAGAGAGTTCCCTGGTGGTCTAGTGGTTAGAATTCTGCCCTTTCAAACTGCTGGGGCCCAGGTTCAATCCCTGCTTGGGGAACTGAGGTCCCACAAGCCACACAGGGCAGTCAATAAATAAAGAAGTAAATATCTTTTAAATTCATCTACTTTTTAGGTGTGATCAACATGTTTGGATAGAAGATGCTACCCATTATGTAATATGTCAATTCCAAGCTTTCTATTACACTTCAGCACTCAAAGAAGAGACTGGGTAACTCCAATATTTATAAGGTATTTTGTTAAAGGAGCCAAACAGGACATTAACAACAGCATTTAATGGAACCACAGGTTACATTTTATACTCTGTATTAGCAGGAAACTTAAACAAAGGAAGCCTTTAGTACTGTGACAGATACACTGGAAAAACAAAAGCAAAGTGGATTACAATGAAGTTTAATACATGCATACATGGGCATTCATTCTAATCATCCTACTCTAGGGTAACAACAGGTATTTACAATAACTCCACCTACTTGATAAGTCTGCAGAACCACAGCATTCTTTACAGTTGTCACATTTTTAAAGCACAGGTTACAGTTACTTACTATTCTAAGATTAGAAGCCTCTAAAATTAGGTATGGAGAAGGAAATGGCAACCCACTCCAGTATTCTTGCCAGGAAAATCCCATGGACAGAGGAGGCTGGTGGGCTACAGTCCATGGGGTCGCAAAGAGTCAGACACGACTGAGAGACTTCACTTTCACTTTCACTTTAAGATAGGTATCCTGAACATTATCTTACTTTCTATCTATGTATTCATCACCTACCTATAGGAATTAAAAGTCCCATCAGAGTCTAAAGAACTTCTTCTTCTTCCATTTTGATTTGAATCTCCTGGAAAAAGAAAAGAAAAACACTGAAATAATGCAGATTATAAAACTGAACATTTCAGTTGAAAAGCTGCTGTCTGACAGCCCCACGCAGTATACTGAGTCAGAAAACACATATTCCCTTATCCCTCCCCCAAAGAGCTTTTGTAATCAGAGCCCTTTAAACTAAAACTTCATTTTGACACTAAAATATAGAGTAAGACCACCACTTGTAACTTGGATAGGAATATTGCCAAAGTAACTACTAACAGGGACAAATGAAGTGTAACACAGACATCTTCTTCCTATGAATCACAAAACCAAAACTTGTCCACCACTTCTTATGAACCAAAGGCAGCTTTTCATTACGGCGTCCTGTCCAGCGAGGAGCTGAGGAGGGCAAGCACACAGCAGGCTCGGCCCCTGTGTGCAGCGGGCTGAAAGGTGGCGACTGAGAATGCACTCCAAGAGCTGGCACTACACCTCAGCAGGCTTCCCCAAACGTCATGTTTTCACTGTAGGCAAAAGCTCACCTGTTTAAAAAATCAACATCTAAAGGTATTTCTGCCTCATGTAAAACATCAAACTTTCAGGGAGAAAAACTTGTTCATACAAGCATATTCATAAAATCAGATTAGAACAAATTTATACCCATCATTTTAAAGATCATAGAATATATTTGCTAAGTTTTAAAAAACTTCTACAATATAAAATATATATTATTGAAAGAAATTTAATTTTAGCTTAAAATTTTAAACATATGCTTAAAAGTATAGTTTTCATGAAAGCACAGATACTTCTATTAAATATATCACTTATTCTTAGAAACAAATTATATAGATCAGAATCTGATTATATTTTATACTCCTAAGTTTTATAATGTAAATTTCAAACATTGGGTTATATTCACTTTTAAGATATTTAAAGCTTAATAATTTAATGATTTATCCAATTTTTATTTATACTTTTAATCCACTTGAACATAGAACAGTATTACTGAACATCATCACAGTGGTCCTGGTTAGGTCAAATAGTAATTACAGAGCTTTCCATTTACAAATGAGATTATTTTAAATAATTGAATATAGCACTGAAGATACCCTACTACTATGATTATGCTGCTCATTAATGGCTTTTGAAAGCTAAAATGCAATTTTAATGATAGCTGTCTATTTTTCTTTGCATGTTTTATCGCTGACAGATAAGTCAAAAATGTTGGTTCTCTTCAAAATCTTTGCTGTTGCACCTAAATTATTTAAAAGAATGAAAGTGGTCAGGGCTCAATTACTGAACTTTTAAGTCTACGTTTTTTTCAAAATACACTTTCAGGCTTTTCTTTTTCATTAAACAAAAACCTTAAAAATGATTACAGCATTCGAAATGTTGCCAAATTTTATAGAAGAAAATAATCCAAAACACTTAAATGTTTAAGATTAATCTAGTTGGTATATTTTGTTAATTCTTTGAAAACATGGGCACCATAAGATGAGTCACAACACACTTCATTTGCTTTTGAAAAAAAATTAATAGCATTATCGTAAATAAATTAAAAAGATTTAAGGAAAATTAGTCTCCCTCCGTCCTGTTAAGTGAAAATTTCCTACAACACATGTTATTAACAGCTTGCAGACATTTTCTGTGAAACGTTCCACAATCAGTATAGAATAAGTACCATATCATACGTTTAGAATGTGAGCTTTCTTCTTCAAAAATAAAGACTATGACTATTTAAATACATAAGATCTCACCAACAGTATATTCTTGTCCTCTGCTTATATTATCATAATAAATATAAAATACTTCAAATAAGAGATTTTCAGTTTTTTAAACACCAAAGTTTTTCATTAAAATACATCACAAAGGTTTTTTTCATTTTATACCTGTTTGGAAATGAATATATCACATTAAATGTAACCTTCAAAGGATAGTAATAAGGAAAAAAAGCAGCTTTTCTTGCTCAAAAACATACCAAATAAGGAGTACAATTGTTTCTCTAAACAGTATTAGAGAAAAGATTTCAGAGTTTGCTACATGGGGAAAAGGTAATAAAGTTTTGAAGTGGGAAAAACTGCTTTGTTTCTTCAATTCTCCAGTTGAAATTAATTATAGCAAATGTTTATGAAAACATCTGTTCCTTACAGTTATAAATTCTTAATTTTAGTATGGACGACTCTAGACTTTTATTTTGGAAAGAAACTGTCTGACAATTGAAAGGTTTACAAAAGAACAGGCAGGATTTATAATTCTGGAAAATTACATATACAGTGTGCTATATCCGGTACAGATTTTCATTTGTGTGAAACACTTGGAGGAGCTTAAAACTGGTTGTAACTAGGAGAACTCAAAGGACAAACAGAGAAGTTCAATTTTCATTTAAGCTGTTATACACTAAAAACATATTTGTATCACGAGAAAAAGACAACCTAAGAATTAAAAACAAATGCTACTTTACTGTCAACATAGTTTGGAGGTAAGTATAGTAAATTATCATTAATTGTATCAGGAACTTTAATAAATTTAAGGCCATTATAACCATGGGAAGGTAAAGGTAGTGTTCCTCAAAAACAACAACAGAGGGCGCAAGAGAGTTTAATATGATGTTTCTCCCTGCTGTTCTGATTCTTGAACTAAGTTGTCAGGTAGCTCTAATTGTAACAAGGATACATGGGTTGTTTTCAGATCTTTCCTTCTCTCCCTCCCACCCTCCGCCTCTCTCTCACAGACGCACACACCCGCGCGGGCACGAAAATGCACTAAAGTACTCTCACACAAAGACCTTTAAATGATCTAACAGAACAAATGTGTTTTAAAATAAGAGCTCCTTTCACCTGCTTGAAAAGTAATTTTAACAACAGAGTAAACTTTAAAAATACAATTGTGATTTTAGTGTTTTCAATATTTAATGTAAACTAACCAAAAAATAAACTGGATATATTTATTGAGTAAATTTTAAATAAATATACAAATTATATACAATAAATAATATACAAATTTTGTGTGTTACTGTATATATGCATAAGATTGTACAATGCATATATTTATAGGAACAGTTCATCAATTACCTGTGACCATTACAGTTTGAAATCTACATAACACATTCATTTCTCATTAATTGGTAAGTAACTTTGAAAATGAGTTCACAACATTCATAATTAAACAAAGTTGCCTGATTTGAAAAAAAATGCTCATAGCTATAATGTTTTTAATGAGGATACAAAGAGCATATAGTATTTTCCATTTGTAATTCTTAACATACATGTATCTAACTTGTGAAAACCATAATATGTATAATGATGATTTAAATTTCAAAAATGGAATAAATTAAATTTGGACTCTTTTTTAGCTTTTATTGCAGTCATGTTGAGCTAAGAGCATTTATAGTATCTGTGCAGTGTTGAAATCATGCTAAATGAAGGTTTACAATAGATTTCAATAATGCTTTTAATACATAAACATCTGCTTTGTAAGGGAGGACCAAGATTTCAAACTTGGTTAGATAAAAAGCAAGCAGAATAATGCTATAAACAAGCACATCTACTCAACTGTGCCTTCAGCTTATACATAAAAAATCAAATTTTAGGGTATCATATCACACTAGGTATGAATTCTGAAAAGTACTACATAATTTTAAAAAGGCTGACTTCTGAATTGTCAGAGAAATGTCACCAAGTGTGTGTGATAAATTATTAATAGTAATGGGAAAATATTTGGTTAAACTAAGTTGAAAACAAAGCTGAGTAGCCACATCTTTAGTTATGATGGATAATATGGCATAAATGAATAGTGTAAACACCTAAAACTGAGTTTTTTAAATGAATGAGGATAACTACTGAAATGTTTTACTTAAATTTAAAATCCCATTGAAAGTGAACAATACAAAAAAATCTATAAATTAAGTATAAATTAAGTATATTCATGTGTTGATATACAGTTAAGGCAAAGGATAATAACAGCATTGTCTATGAAAACAGTAGCCACAAAGAATATTACATTATTTCAAGAATCAGGTAAACAATATGCTAAGTCAATTATTTATGCTGAAAATCTAGGCCCACACATTTAGGTTTAAGAGCTAGTGCTCAAATAAATGTAAGAAATTTGTTTATTTAATAATTATTCATTTTCTCTATTGTTAATCTGTCTACATTCTAATGATTCAATAGGCATATTTAGTTCCCTACATAATATTTTCATATTATTAAATTAGATAATGAAACTCAGATGTAAAACAAACGCATAGCAACCATTTGAAATAAATAACACTAAGTGGACAATTTTAAGAAGATAATACTTTTGTTATTCCTGTTAAATATTAAACAGAATTTTCTTTTTTAAAAGAGAGGAGAATGACATCAGCAGTGGCAGAATACACAGCTCTAAATTCTCATCTTTCAACAGAAGCATCAGAAAACAAGTACTGTCAGAGCAAACTTTGCATTGACTTTGGAAATAGTCGAAGATCTGTAAGAACCAATGAACAAAGAGTCAAGAAAAAGGCAACTTGAAAGCTTTGTGAGGTTTTGGTCTACGCTTATCCTAGATCAGCAGCAGTTGTGGACATGGAAGCTAGTTCCTAGTGTGAGCAAATTGCACCTTGTCCCAGAGGGAGCAGAGAAGACCATAAGTGTAAATCAATGCTAACTTGTTAGGGACTACCTGAAGAACTGACTGAAGATGTTTATCTCCTTTTTCATCTAACTAATAAAAAAGAAAAAAAAAAAAAAGTCAGGCTTTGTTTGCTCTTGAACACACTGCAGGTCAAATTAGGAGTCGGCAGACACCTGGGGCAAAAGATCACAACCAAACCATAGAACAGACCACTCAAGACCTGGGGGAAAACACTGGCAAGGGTTTCTTTGAGAAATTAGGACATTCAAAAGCACCTGTGCATATAGAGGAGTACAGAAGTCTTCACACATGCCCAGGGCAAGACGCATGATGACAGAGAAACTGAGAAAGCCCTAAGCTTCTAGCCGAAAATGACCACTAAGAGGGGTGCCGGCCTGGGAGGATGACGGGGACTGC